AGAGAACGTACCTGGAGTGGCCCAAGGAGAGGAGCAAGCACGCCCTTTTCTGGGCTAACTTGAGAGCGGCTATTACCATTAACCTGCCTATGGCTGATGGAAATAACTGTGGGGAATGTAATTAGGAATCTTCTTCTTGCTGTTTTGTTGTTGTTGTTATTTCTTGGCAAAGTAATAAATGTTTGATTGTTTTCATTTATTGTTTTCCTCTCTTGTAGAACCCTCTTCTACAACAACATGGATGTCTTTTATTTCCTCTAACTGTAGAAAAAAACAGCTTATGAAAACCATATCATTTGAGATTGATGCAGAGAAGGCAAGGCAGAAATTCATGTGGAACGTGTGTTTTGAAATACAGCTTGAAATACAGTAGTACATTTTTCTAAGCAGAATAATACGTTGGTAGGTTGTTGCAGTCGTGTAGAAAGGTACGCTTGAATTGCTGGAGAGACGGGCTAATCACACGGCTTCGGCAGCTCCATCACATGACTTCCGTTGTCAAACCTGGCTCGCCAGAGAGGAAATTACACATTCTGTGAAGGTGTCTGGAAACTCAGAGCTGAAGGCAGTTCCTGGATGGAATTTTCTCAGATTCAGGAAGCTAGCACCCAGATAGAGAAATCTGTGAGTAACTAACGTAGGTGGATAAGAAGTGTCATGTTAGAAAGAGGACTGATCGGGTGAGTTGGGGGAAGAAGGGGGACTTAGAAAAAAAAAAAAAGCTACTTCTCCTTTGGGGGCTTGTATTTTGGTGATGCAGTTCCTACTTGCAGGAAAAAAATGAATTGGTAGCCAGAACTGTAATCCTAACCCTCTGGCACTGTCTTGGTATCACCTTGGCCCTGACGTTGACTTGATCTCTAGTGGCATAAGTGCCTTCATCATCAATGGCTGTATCTTGAGAAACTCTCTTCTTCTTTACCTCATGCTTCTTCTTGCTTCTGACTTTTTTTTCTACCCATTATCTATTTCATTTTATGCCACTGATTAGAAGACTGTCCTTTTCAGCCAAAACAGTATCTTTTGCAGCAGAGCTTTCAATTCCTGATCAGAAAAGCAATAAACAGACAAGGGTTGAGAACATTTGCCAGGTCTTGAAAAAACTGATTTGACCAGATGCAGCCTCTGTATTGATGGAAGCACAAACACAAGCTACACTTAAAGTATTTGCTCTCCTTTACGGGAATATAGCCTGCCCCTTTGCCTGTATTGTCTTGTTTTGCTTTCAGGAAGGTGCTGTTGGACTCTAACAAGCATTCACAACTGCTAAAGATCATTACAGCAAATGCTATTGTAGGAAGTTGAGCAAAGAGGGCAGGAGACCTGCATAGATGAACAAGGAGTTCCTGGCAAAACCCTAACAGAAGAAACTGCAGAGATGATAGAAGGAGGGACAGGCCATTTGGGAGCATTGTCTGAGTATTCAGGGATGTGCCTAGGAAGGCCAAGACCCATTTGGAATTAAATCTGTGAAAGGATGTCAAGAATAACAAGAAGGATTTCTTTAGTTGCATCAGCAGCAAGAAAGACTAAGGAGAAGAAGGAAAGACTAGGTGTTATGAATGGAGCAGGGCTCTGATGGCCAATGATACGGAGAATACAGAGATACCGAATATTCTCTTTACTTCAGTCATTACTGCTACAACCAGCCCTCAGGAATCCCAGACTCTAGAGACCATGCAGAAAGGTCTGGAGAAAGGAAGACTTTCCCTCAGTTGAGGAGACTTGATTAGAGAGGGTTTATGCAAAGTGTGCATACACATGTCCATGGGCCATGATGGGGTCCACCTACAAGTGCTGAGGGAGCCGGCAGATGTGGATGCTGGGCCACTCTCAATTGTCTTTGAAAGGACATGGAGAACATCTAAGCATGTGAAGGATAAGGAGATCAGAAGTAGTCAGCATGTGTTCAAGAAGAAATCATGCTTTCCAAACCTCATGACCACCTCCAACGGGATGGGTAGCTGGGTAGATGTGGGGAGGGGGAAGTGAATGTTGCCTACTTTGACTTCAGCAAGGCTTCTGACACTGTCTCCCATGACATCCTTATAGGTAAGCTCAGGAAGCATGTTTAGGTGAGTGAACAGTGAGGTAGATTGGGAACTGGCTAAACAGTAGAGCTTAAAGGGTTGTACTCAGCAGTACAGTCTAGTTGTAGACCTGTAGATAGCATAGTCTGCCATGGGTCAGTACTGGGTCCAGTACTGCTCAACTTAATCATCAGTGATGTAGATGGAGGCACAGAGGGCACCCTCAGCATTTTGCTGAAAAGACAAAACTGGGAGGCTCTGGTGAAACACTGTGGTGCTTTTTGGAACTGAAGTGAAGTTCAACAAAGGGATGTGCAAAGACCTTTACCTAGGGAGAAATAACCCCAAGTAGCAGTATAGGCTACAGGCTGACCTGCTGGAAAGCAGCTCTGCAGACTAGGACCTAGGAAGACTGCATGCTGACCATAAACCATCAATATGCTCCTGTGGACAAGAAGATTGAAGATAAACTGGTTTGCATTAGGAAGAGCGTTGTCAGCAGGTTGAGGGAGGTACTCTTCCACTTAGCCTTGGTGTAGCGACATCTGGAAAGCTGGGTCCAGTTCTGGGCTCCCAAATATGAGAGAGACATGGAGCTGCAGGAGCGAGTCTAGTGAAGGGCTCCAAAAGTGATAAAGGAACTGGAGTATCTCTCTATGAGGAAAGGCTGCAAGAGCTGGGGCTGTTCAGCTTGGGGTGGGGAGGATCTTTTCAATACCTGCAAATATCTGAAGGAAGGATGTGGAGAGGACAAGACCAGACTATTTTCAGTGGTGCCCAGCAAGAGGAAAGGAGGCAACAAGAAACAAACTGAAACAGAGGAAGTTCCATCTAAACATGAGAATCAACTTCTTTACTGTGAGGGTAACAGCGCACCAGAACCCAGAGAGGTTGCGCAGTCTCCTTCCTTGGAGATATTCAGAAGTCTGGACACAATTCTCAGAAACGTGTTCTTGGAGACCCTGCTTGAGCAGGAGGTTGGACTAAATGATCTCCAGAAATCCCTTCCAACGTCAACCCTTCTGTGATTCTCTGATTCTTCTGTAATTCTGTTGCCTCCTCAAAGGACAGCTGTTTGCAACCTTTAATGGTAGAGTCAGGCAAGAAGACAATATCAGACCAGTAAGCAAAGTGTTACATTTTTCCAAAATTTGCTTCAGACTGGAGAAAGAGGAAAGATAAAACCACTACTTAGTGTAGAAAGTTCATGTGATTTATCTAATTTTTGTTTTCCCTTATTATTAGCAGAAGATTTTAATTGTGATTTTTTTCCCCCCAGCTCTAAGCAGACTTGGTTGTAATCTTGATTATTTAACTTAACTATTTAATGATTTACAGTGGAATGGTCAACTTTAACACCTTTAGCACTCTCATCTCATTTCCCTTCAATTAATAAAACACACCTATTGCCAAATTGCTGTCTCACTCTGGACTGCAGAAAGCAATGTTTCCTGCGCCTCTTTCCTTTAGCTCTTTAAAAAGGCTAGAAGCCTTCATGTTACTCAGATGAGAATACACAGCTGCTCTCAGATTTTAATGATTTCTCTTAGGAGTGCAAGTGTTTAGCAGGAGTGCTGTGGAGAGAACTTGGAAACTCCATGTGCTTCTGGCAATGTAGTTGGTGTGATCCTAACTAGGTAATTACAGTTTTCCTGAGTATGGCCAAATTGAGTGAACAGTGTTTGAAAGCAAGACTTGTAATAATAATGGGAAGTAATAAAAACTTGTACTTTGGGACCCAAAGCCCAAATATGATTACACTCTTGTCTATATTATGAGCCAGATAAATAGCAAAACAGCTAAATGTGCGGTGAATTATTATAACCACTTTATTGGCCAGATTCCATGAGGAGAAGATTCCTCAAGAGATGTCAGGATCCCAATATTTCAGAAAATTACCTCGGCCTCTGCCATACTCTGAAGAGTTTCTATAAAAACAATTTTGTAGTCCAAGGAGAATTTTTTTCCCATACATGGAGGCCATATGTTAGCCTCGCATCTCTTAGCATCCTTTTTCTCCTGGGACTTTATCTCATGTTTTGTAAAGTAGCAGCACCTTTCTGCACACACCAATGACCAGTCTGCAACTGGTTCTACAGGTGAAGTTGCAGCTGCTAATGTGCTCCAGCGGGGAGGAAAAGGGAGTAGGTAAATACATTCCTACCCCAGATACTGAATCACAGCAGGTTCCCGGAATTTGAGGAGTCATCTCAGTGCTTAGCAACACCACCACATTTACACACATGATTGTGTCAACGTACGAAAGCAAAAACATGGGGCGTTAAATACCCTCCAAAATGTAGAAAATGTGCAAATGAAGTGAAAGTGGAAATATTTTCATATATAGGTAAGAGGTAGTATAAGTGATAGTATCTGAACTATGGCAGAATGGAGCACTATTAGGTAGCTCTTCCGAGAGTTCGTGGTTTTTTTTTCTTTAAAATATGATAAAGCATCATCACTGCAGCTCAGCTACAGAGGTTCAGAGCAGGAAGGAGAGCTGGGGAGAGAGGGAAAGAAATGGGATTCCATGGAAGCCAGGCATTCTGTTGGGAGGAAGGTTCAAAAACTCTGTAAAACCCCTCTTTTTACTCAGTGCTTCAGTTTGGATGATACAAATTTTCTTTCTGAGACATTTGCTGAGGTTGACTATAATGCCCATCAGTACTCACTGCTTAGTCAGGAGCAAGTGGTGCTGATAAGTCAGTAAATGAGAAAGTCAGTTCTGTGTTCTGCAAGGTGCCACTGTGCTTTCGGACACAGAGTTTGATTTCCCCATTTTTAATCTTTGCATCTATTTATGCTAAAACAAAATATGCTTATAATGCTATAAAATCTGCTCCCTTTAACTATTGGTAATATTTAGCACTCTTTTTTTTTTTCCACAGGAGTAAGTTGTGACGATGAAAGAGCTGTGATTGAAGATAGGGTCCTTGAACATGGCCAAACACTGACCTAGCTGCTTGCAACTTTTCCTAATTGTATTAATGTTTTAAGTGTTTGGAAAAGTCCAGGTGCTGTGGTTATATTTTAACTCAGTGTTTTGCATGTGTAAGTACCCTTCTGCAATTTAAATTGGGGACACTCTTCACTCCCTTGGGGATTCTCTTGGTCCTGAAATTTGAAAATGACTGAAATGAAATGAAAAATGGGGCTATTTTTTTCTTTTAGCAGCTCTGTGCGTGTTGGAATCACTCCTAAAGGAAGTTGATGATGTATTTGAATTTGCAAACACAGCAAAGATTTTTGTATAATTATATATAGACTAAAACTGCCTTGACTCCCTATGCTTTCATTCTTAATTCAATTATCATATTATTATTCTGCCAACTCATTTCCATAGGAACATGGATTAATACCAACCAATGGGAAAGTCCATTTAACTTGAAGGCAGGACAGTATCAGCTGACAAGCAGATTCTTGCTGCTTATTGAGAAACATTCATGAACCCTGGTCTTGGGTTATAGATGTCTCAGAAGCTTGATCTGTAAGGAATTCTTTAGGTTTATTGCATAGAGGAAAGCAGAATGGTTTATTGACAGCAAGTTTCAGTTCAGACCATCTCGCTCATCAAACTCCAAATGAAAAACAGCAATTTCTTTCTAGTAAAACAAAAGGACAAAAGGAATATCTTTTTTTTTTTTTTCCTTGCAGGATTGGAAGGGTAAATGCCAAGAGAAGTTTAGAAGGAAATTAATGCAAACTTTAGATGTATTCAGTACCACGGTCCAAATTAAAACTTCACAGGCAACCTTGAAGGTTTTTGTCAGCTTCTTCAGCTGGACACCAGCTCACCTTCTCCTCTCCGCCAAGGCGCTGCCTTCTGGAAGGCCTGTGCACTCACCTGAAGTGGGCAGGGCCCTCTCCACCCTCCCTGTGGTGACTAATACCTGAAGAACTCATTGTAGACTTTGTGAGTTTAATCTTAATATCCATTAAGATTAAATGAATCTTTAGAACAAAGCCTAGATTTCTCTGCTTCTTTCTTCCCTGTTAATTAATCTTACTGAAGCGTGTTGCATTGGTTTGGAGGCCTATGGGAATGAGATGTTGTTTTCAGTTGCTTCTATTTGCCGTTGAAATGTCGATTTGCTCACTAGGTTTATGCCCAACTCAACAAGTTATTTGAATGACTGTTTAATGCTCCCTTCCCAGATAGCTTGTCTTACACGGCTGTGTTGCTCATGGCCCCAATACAGCTTTCACGTCCAAGAGAATATTACCTACAGCACATACTTGACAGTTTCGTGGTGGAAGTTACAATGTGAAGTCTCTGTGATAACCACCTGAGGTGTATCAGGTATCAAGATGACTGATGCAGGGTTGGAGCTCTGTCAGTTTGCCCCTGTAACAAGCTTTTGAGATCTCTGTTTTTGCAGTCTGCCCCTGTGCGACATAATTAATCTGCTTGCTGAGGAAAATCTTTCCAGAGGGGTGGAGCTCTGATTCTGCTGTGCAGAGAAGCTGCCTGTGAAAGTTTCGCTTCCACTTTTCTGGGTGTGTAAAAACTGCCAACCTTCCAAAACACCTGTGTAAATGTCAGAAAGGGACAAAATTAGCAATGCAGATTTATTTAAGTGGTCTTGCTTTGGTAAATATTCTGCACAGTGGATAGGTCCATTTCCTCCTAAACCACAGTTATGTAAATTCTGCAAGAGTAGATGTATTTTGAGTTTGGGCTGTTAAAAATTCTTTCATTTCCTTAAACTCTTAATACTTGCACTGTATTGAAAGTGCATGTTTTCTTAGAATTATATAGATTACATTCATAAACCTTTCTGCTTGTGTAGGTAGAATTATTAACTATTAAAAAGGAATTATCATGTCATGTGAGATGCCCCAGCTTCAAGATGAGGTATGTGTGAAATTCTGTCTTGAGAATATAAGATGGTTGTGCAGATCTTTGGCTGGTTGTTTGCTCAGGGATGAATTTCACACACCAAAGGTGGGTTCTATTTGCTGCATTGTTTAATTCTTCTTGTCATATATGCTTTGAAATCTGTCGCATCTCAAGTGCTGGTATTTCTCTGCCATGGAAAGATATTCTTGCACTTTGAAATTTCAGTGAAAATGCTCATTTGCATGTTGAATTTCAATGTAGAAAAAAACTTTTCTTTTTGGAACGGTAATTTTCATTCTCAGTCAAATGCGATTTAATATCATCATAAAATAGTGTTGGATGGGTTATTACTGACCCTAAAAACTGTGTTGTTAGACAGCCTGCTTTATTCTTTTAGTTTGGCCCTCTCCAGTGCTATGTAGTGTGGACCCTGCCTGCTTGCAGCCTGTACTGTAGCCTGCACAGTGGGTTAAAACTCATCTGGCAATAGAACATGGAGCAGAGAATGTGTTTCTGTTTTTCTCTACTTTCAGAAAAATTCTTGCTTTGTTCCTGAGTTCCCTTTGCCCTGAAGTCCCTCCAGATAGTTCCTGGTCAAGTTGTTTTTGATCTCGAGAGGTTCCTTGCCAGCCCAGGCTCTGAAGAACAGGGTCAGCTACTCTTTGGAGGAAGCCAGGTCCGCTCCATTCTTCCTGTGAGTGACGTTGTACCTTAACAAACCATCTGAGCTCTGCTTATAATCTGCTCTGCGCCCAGATAGCCTAGGCCAACCTTTTGCAGATAGAACTCCACTGGCTGGCAGTCAGGTTCTGCAGAAGTAGTTTTCCTCCTTACTGATTTATTATTTTATTGCTTATGGTGACTTTAACTACAGGTGTTTATTACTTTCTTGAGGAAAACTTGATTAATCTGGATGGGAGATTCAGTTCTGTTATCAGTCCAAAAAATTTACTTCTGCACTAGCACATGTTATAGGCCTTTGGTTTTTTAAAAAAAAAAAATGCACAGAGAATGAATTAAACCACTTATTTTCCCAAAAGAATCAGCACAGGGAAAAAAAAAAAAAAAAAAAAAAAAGGATACTTCTCTCCAGATAGAGTGGTGTGATTCTCTCATTCTTCAGGCTCTCTGAGTGTTTTATTAAATGCTTTAGCAGTAAAGAGTAATGCTTAGGACACAGGGAACATGGGAAGCAGCAGATAGAGGCTTCCTTTCCATTTAACTGAGAAAAAAAAGAATTCAAATTAAAGAGTAGGGGTGATTGGTAAGGGGATTGGTAAGACCACCTTAGGAAAAAAAGAAAAGCAAAAAAGTAAATTAAATGTGTTTTCTTTCCATAGGGTTGAGCTCGATATTGAGAAATATTGAACGGAAAACAAACCATGCTTCTCTGCTTCTGTAAAGAACCAAGATAATTCTGTAAGACATAATGGGACCCCTTACAAATGTTGTTATCTTTGCCTGCGTCTTTATATTCACTCTTGGGACTAATATCCAGATGACTGTGGAAAATGAATTTACTGCAAACTATTCAAGCAGTTTGCTAACTACTGTCCCAAAAAACATTTTAGTTCATATTCATGTATTAGATTTATCATATAATAAGATCTCTGAATTTAATGTCTTGGATTTTATGTCTCTTTCTGACCTTCGAGTATTGAATCTTTCTCACAATCTAATTACAGAGCTTGACTTCAATGCCTTCATGTTTAATCAAGATTTAGAATACTTAGATTTGTCTCATAACAGGATTTTGAAAGTTTACTGTCAAACTGTTGAACGTCTTAGACATTTAGATCTTTCTTTCAATGAGTTTAGAGCCTTGCCCATCTGTCAAGAATTTGCGACCATGTTTCATCTCAAGTACCTAGGATTAAGTGCCACGACAATACAGAGATCAGACTTTAGATACATCACACATTTGCAGCTGCACACTGTCTTCCTAACCTTGCAAGACTTTTCTAGGTACGAACCTCAGAGTCTGACAGCCATAAACACAAGGAGCCTTCACATAGTTTTTGCAGACAACCAAAACTTCAGTTTTTTCCTCTTGTATGATGGATTGAGCACTTCAGAAAATTTAAAAATAACTAACATAAGATACAGCCTGAGTTACAAAGATTTCCCTTTTCCTCCCTTAGAGCTTGTGAAAAAAATCAAGACAACAGCCCTAGTGCTAGACAATGTGGATTTACAATGGGGGATCATTTTTGAGATTTTTTTGCTTATTTGGTATTCCCCTGTAGAGTATTGGACTGTGAAAAACTTAACTTTTCGAGGATCGGTAAGGAAGGTGACAGAATATGAACATTTATTCTTATTAAGCTTTCAAGAAAAACTCATCAATTGGGATGGCTCCATGAAAGCATTAACTTTAGAACATGCTCGTAATAAGGTTTATTATTTCAACCAGGAAATCCTATACAGACAATTCTCAGAGATGAATATTGAACATTTAACAATATACGACGCATATATGCCACACATGCTTTGCCCCAAGAGAATAAGCTCGTTTCAGTACTTAAATTTTTCTCACAATGCCCTGACAGATGAGTTGTTCCAGAATTGTGTCACTCTGATAGATTTGAAATCACTTATTTTGCAGAGGAATAAGTTTAAGAGCCTTTCCAAGGTGAGCTTAATGACAAGCCATATGAAATCGCTGAGGTATCTGGACATGAGCAGCAACATGCTGCACCATGACGGGGCTGAGCAGCACTGCCAGTGGG